GAGAGAGAGGGAGACACAGAATCGGAAACAGGCTCCAGGCTCCGAGCCGTCAGCCCAGAGCCTGACGTGGGGCTCGAACTCACGGACTGTGAGATCGTGACCTGGCTGAAGTCGGACGCTTAACCGACTGCACCACCCAGGCGCCCCTTTGGTTTTCTTTTCTAATTCTTTTCTCTTTTTCACTTATTCCCACTCTCTCTCTCTTTTTTACGTTTCTTAGAGTGGAAGTTTTGTTTATTGATTTGAGAACTTTCTTCTAATATAAATTTTGTTCTATGGGTGGCATCTGCTGCTTTCCTTAAGTTCTCGTATATTGTCTTTTCTTTCATCTCTATGTATTTCCCAGTTTCTCTGGTGATTTTGACTCTTCGTTATGAATGTGCTGCTTCAATATTCCATATTTTTGAATTCCCCAAATTTCTTCCCTCTCTCATCTCACTCTGCTGTGGTTTGAGAACAGACTTTGTATGATTTCAATTCTTTCAACCTTAGGAGACTTGTTTTATGACATAACATATGGTCTATCCTGGAGAATGTTCCATGTGCCCCTGAGAAGAATGTGTCCTCTGGTGTTGTTGGGCAGAGTGCTCAGAAGATGCTTGTTAGGTCTAGCGGGTTTAGAGAGTTGTTTAAGTCATCTGTTTCTTTGGGGATCTTCTGCCAAGGTGGTCTATCCACTATGGACAGTAGGACATTGAAATCTGCAACTATTATTGTTGTCTATTTCTCCCTTCAATTCTGTCTCTTCTTGTTTCATGTACTTTGGTTGCTTTTATGAAAGGTTAGTTGATTTTTGGAGGTCCTTATCATCCCAGAAGTGCTTCCATCTTTGATATCTTGTTTGGAGCCCAGAAAACATGTGAGCTTTTCCACTGGAGATCAATATTCTTCTACAAATAGCTTCTAGGGTGTGATATCAGGGTTCATAGTTCACAGTGTACAATGATAATATTCATTTTCTCCAGAGATAGCTAACAGATCTCACCATCTGGCACCATATGAAGGTCATGACCAAAGTTGTAGCTGAAGACTGGCATACTGACCCCTAATGCCCTCTTCAGTTTTCTCTTGTGAAAGTGATGTGCCCCATATCGCCAATATCCTCAAACTTTACATTGTATTTCACCCAAACTATATATTTCACCTGAAAGTCATAATTGCCAAACTACACAGCTGTCAGGATCTTTTTTTTTTGTTTTTTTGTTTTGTTTTGTTTTTTTCAGCTGTCAGGATCTTATCTCCAGCTAGAACCTATGTTAGAATCTGTGGAGACTGCATCCCAGGTCAAGTCACTATTCCTAGATTCCCCAACTTCTCAGTACATATCTTTATGTATCATAGACTATTTTAGTTTCTTAGCTGCTTGTTTCCCCATCACTCCTCTCTCACAATGTGGGTTTCTACTATAAGCAAACTCAAAGTGAAATGCTGAACCAGAATTTCATTCATTAGTCTCCATAATGAGGAGTTTTAGCCAGTCCCGTCTCCACCTTCAGTCTTTGTCTTCCTAACATGCTCTGAGATGTTCTTTCCTTATGAATTTTATCCAAAGGTAAGTATCACAGATTTGTTTTTGCACTTGGCGGTTGAACAAATGTGAGTTTTGCTGGCAAAAGAGTCTCAAAACAATTATGGAAATAATTCAGCTAAATCACAGATAGGGAGCTTTATTGCTATTATAGATATCTGAAATCCAACATGTTCTCCTGGAAAAGATTTCAATTACAGTGCTTAGAGAATCCTTGCCTAATACAACTCGGTGCAAATAGTCTCACATGTAATAAGGTAGATACATATAATCCTAGGTGATCTCATTCCACTTGTGTTCAGGGTTTTCAATATTGTACATGCACTTCTCCTTCAAAATATTCTCTTTATTCAAATAGAATTATTTGTCTATAGCTCATGTCTAGACTGAGACTAGTGTTTACTAACAACACTTTGAGCCTTTTTTTTTTTTTCCCAAATCAATTTAAGCCCTTATCGACCACGTTATGGGCTGAATTGTGCCCCCAGAGCCAGATTCATTGTGTCGAAGCCCTAATCCCAGAAGTCACTGTGTCTGGAGACAGGGTGTAGAAGGAATTAAGACCGGATAAGACCATAAAGGTGGGGCCCTGATCTAATATCAGCGTCCTGTAAAAAGACAACACAGAAACGCTTCTTTCCCTCTTTCTCTTGCTGTCCCCCTCAGTGCAGAGGAAAGGCCGTGTGAGGACTTAGTGAGAAGCCAGCCATCGACTAGCCAGGAACGGACCCTGCCAGGTTTTGATCTGGGACTTTCCACCTCCAAAACTGTGATAAAATAAATGTCCGTTGCTTACACCACCCCGCTCGTTTTGTTACAGCAACCTGAGCAGACTTATATACCATGTTTGGCTCTAGAGAGAGGCAGATAAATGAGACAAAGCCCTCTGCTTCAGGAGCACAGAATCTAGTAAGAAGGGATGTCTCGTGAAAATACGTGATCAGTGCTTCCAACTCAGCCTGCGAGTTCTGAAAGGCTCCACAGAGCACAGATTTGAGCAAGGTTTTCAAAGAGGCCCGACTAGGCGAGGAAACAGCAACCCGGGAAGAGAGAATCCCCGGCAAGGACTGACACCTCAAAAGGCAGGATGTATCTGGTGAACACTGAGAGGCTACAGGGTCTAGAGAGTACAGAAGGCATGACAAGGAGGCTTGGAAAGGGAGGGGCTGGATTAAAAGGGACTGGGGACAAGATGTGAAGGTCCCCGAGTGCCAAAGAGCCTACGTTTCCCATGTAAGAAAATACCACTCAACATGTTCATTTACTAGAGCTGTTAGACTAGATATCTCTCTCTTTTTTTTAAGTTTATTTATTTTGAGAGAGAGAGAGCACGAGTAGATAGGGACAGAGGGAGAGGGGAGAGAGAATCCCAAGCAGGCTCCGCACTGTCAGCGCGGCGTCCTACGTGGGGCTCAAACTCATGAACTGCAAAACCCTGACCTGAGCCAGTATCAAGAGTCAGACGCTCAACCGCCTGAGCCACCCAGGCGCCCCCTACAGACTAGGTATCTTCACAACAGAAATTAATTTTCTCCTTCCAGAGGCGAGAAATCCGAAATTAGGTGTCAGCAAGGTTGGTTTCCTCTGAGGCCTCCCTCCTCGGCTTGCAGACGGCTGCCTTCTCCCTGGGTCCTCACGCACCTGTCGCTCTGTACGTGCAACTGTGTCCAAACCCCCCCTTCTTGTAAAGATGGCATTCACCTCGGATTAGGGCCCACCTTAATGAACTCATTTTTTTTTTAAATTTTTTCAACGTTTTTTATTTATTTTTGGGACAGAGAGAGACAGAGCATGAACGGGGGAGGGGCAGAGAGAGAGGGAGACACAGAATCGGAAACAGGCTCCAGGCTCTGAGCCATCAGCCCAGAGCCCGACGCGGGGCTCGAACTCACAGACCGCGAGATCGTGACCTGGCTGAAGTCGGACGCTTAACCGACTGCGCCACCCAGGCACCCCATTAATGAACTCATTTTAATTTAATGACCTCTTTAGAGACGCTAACTCCAAATGTGGCCCATTCTGAGTCATGGGGTTACTCCTGCAACACCGGAGGGGTGTGGGGAGAGGGCACAGCTCAGCCCATGGCAAAAGCTACCACAGGGATGATACACGTGAGACACCGCCTGCTAGGGAAGGGACTCCTTTTATGCCATTTGGTCTCTTCTCCCCCCGGTGGACTCCTAGGTTTTGAAAGATTTCATCTGCCAAAGTACACTTATTAACTTATAAATTCTTCATTTCCAAAAATCAAAGACAGTAGGCCGGTCAGATGTGATCAGCAGGTAACATCTAGAATCACCATACTGAGTTGATAAAATTTCAACCAAGAGGAGAACCTGACATTCACATCGACCCGTGAGGACTTGTTGTGGGGAATGCATGAGTGTATGTGTGTGCGTGTTGTGGCTGGAGACAAGACCTTCTGGAGTGTCACATGTGCTGAAGTGTATGCTCCCCCCCCCCCCACACACACAGTGTCTGCATCGTAGCACTTAGCATATCGTATCGCCATTTTGTGGTTGTGACTGCATCCCCGCTCTAGATTCTGAATCCCTGTCAACAGGGACCCCATCTCACTCATTTTGCAACCCCAGCAAGGTCCCTGGTTGTCTTAAGCTGACTAGACCCATTACCACATCGTTAAGGCCTCTGGAGAACAAGGGACCATGAAGCTGAAACCCACTGCTCTAGGATCTTCGATGTACATGGGGAGGCTCTACGGCCACGTGTGCACACTCCCACCATACACGCTCTTATTTTAAATGCCATCACGCCGCAGATAAAGATGCTATGGAGCAGGAGATCGATACAGCTGTGGGATTCTGAGTGGAGACTCCTCAAAAGCTGGGGCACTCAGCAGAGCCAGCCAGGAAAGACCATCTCTGCTTCCTTGTCTGTTCCTGGCCGGCTCCCACTCCCCCTGACAGCAAAGGTATCCAGGCCAAGTCTCATATTTAATCCCATCTTGATAAATGCCACTGAATGAACGAATGAAGGCATACATGAATAAATGAATAACAGAACTGTAAGTAAAAAAAAAAAAAAAAAGGCGGAGCGCTCAGGAAAGGTGGTGAGGTGGGCTTTGACAGATGAAGACGAATTTGGAATAAGCAGAGAAGAGGGAAAGACATTCAGGTAAGGAAATCACAATAGAAAATTCAGGGATGGAAAGATGTTTTAGGGTTTTCAGTAGGTAAAATTTTTATTTTTATTTTATTTTATTTTTTTAAAAAATTTTTTTTTTAACGTTTATTTATTTTTGAGACAGAGAGAGACAGAGCATGAACGGGGTTGGGTCAGAGAGAGGGAGACACAGAATCCGAAGCAGGCTCCAGGCTCCGAGCTGTCAGCACAGAGCCCGACGCGGGGCTCGAACTCACAAACTGTGAGATCGTGACCTGAGCCGAAGTCGGGCGCTTAACCGACTGAGCCACACCCAGGCACCCCAAGACAGCAAGTCTTAATCCCAGGGATTTGTAAATGCTACTTTATTTGGAAACGAGGACCATGGGTACATCTTTTGGGGGCCGCTACTCCAGCGCTGAAAGAGAGAAATTAGGATCAGTCTGTCGCCAAAACCGCCTGTGGGCAAGTTACTAACAGAAGCTTACACCTGCCAGGCTGAGGGCCAGATCTCGGACACCTGCAGGTACCCTTCTGTCCCACCACAAACCGCTAGCATCCCTGTCACCTCTTTCCATCAAAACAGCACGAATCATTATTATTATTTCCACTTTACAGATCAATAAACTGAGCTACCAAAGATGTGAGTAAAGCTGCAGGTCAAACGTGGTGAGGACAGAACTGGAATCTGGACTCTGACGTGATCGTGGAAATACACCTGTCACCCTTATCCCCCCTGCCTCCTTCACCTCCTCCAAGACTATTACAAAGGTCATCACTTTGGGGCCATACACACTGTGACAGATGACAAACACAAGAGGAGACGTCCACAGATCTCTGAAAAAAACCGTACATCCTCTTGAGTTTTCTTTTCTAGTCTCGGCCTCCCTGATTCCTGCGGCCTTCACTTAGAGCGCATGGCCTGTCCCCTCACCCCCACAGTCACATCCTCGAAGTCTGCCACACTGCGTCTGCACGCTTCTTTAAAGAATGCTTCCCAGAACCGACAACTGTAAAAACCAACTTCTATGGAGTACTTATGTGCCAGGCTCCCTTCTAAGCACTTCGATTACAGAACTTCAATTTAATGCCAACAACTCCATTAGATAAGATTATTATTATTATTATTCCCCATATTGGAAATGAGGAAACAGACATGGAAGTTAAGTATGTTGCTCAAGGCCACCAAGTTAGAAAATGAAAGCTGGTACTGAAATGTAGGCAGCCTGTCCCCAGAGCCCTGCATCCTTAACCTCTACCCTCTATGCCGCCTCGCCTCGTGCCTACTCAAGAGTCAGAAGAGACCACCTCCCTTGTTTCAAGTACTATACTCCACGTGATGCGACCTTAGGTCACATGGCAGTTACATCACGTGCAAGCATTTATTTGTTCACTGCTAAACGCATATGCATCTATCCCTCTCCTCCTCCTTACCAGAAGAGTCCCCGAAAGCCACAGACTCGGAGAAAAAGTATGTGGCAGGGGTGGCAGGTGGGCAGGCAGAAAGAAGGCCAAGAATGAGAGAGGGCGAGCCACAAAACCAGATGAAGGATCCAAGCACGTCAACTTGGAGGCGCCACAACAGACCAGGTGCAGGAAGACTGTGGGCTGGTTGAGGACAAGTCTCACAGATACCACGTTTGCATTATGTTATTCCGAAGAGCCCTCAGAGGCAGGCCAGGCACCATCCTCGGCTGCATCTAGGAAAGCGCCTGCGTAGGGGCGCCTGGGTGGCGCAGTCGGTTAAGCGTCCGACTTCAGCCAGGTCACGATCTCGCGTGATCTCGCGTGATCTCGCGTGAGTTCGAGCCCCGCGTCGGGCTCTGGGCTGATGGCTCGGAGCCTGGAACCTGTTTCCGATTCTGTGTCTCCCTCTCTCTCTGCCCCTCCCCCATTCATGCTCTGTCTCTCTCTGTCCCCCAAAAAATAAATAAACGTTGAAAAAAAAATAAAAAATAAAAAAAAAGAAAAGCACCTGTGCTCAGCAAACCTTGACACTGTTGATCACTCGGAGGCACCAGCAACCAGAAAGGAGAAAAGCGTCTTATTCCAAACACGTTAGACATGGCGGGGAATGGAAGCAAGCCGGATCTCTGCAAAGACGTGGCAGACGCGCTGTCGTGCGGCCTCTCTCTGGCTTTGTCTTGAAGACTCGTGCACCTTAGTCACTTCACCGTTCCGTCGCCACCTCTGCCCCCTTTCCACGTACGCAAAACCCACTCACCTTGCAGGCCACTCAGCCCCAGTGCTGGGAACGTGTCCTTCATCACGCCCTCTGCGGGGATCTCTCCCGCTTCAGATCCCAGAACAACTTTTGCCTCTGCCATCATTGGGCCACGATATCTCCTGACGGTCTTCTTTCACTCTTTTAATTCTTGTTGGCAAAATCTTGTTCCCAGAAACGTGATACGATAGGCTACTCTATACAATTCATGGTATTTTGAGCATTTTTTTAAACATGCTAAATAACGCTACTGCTTTTTCAGAGACCATAAAGCCTCACGAGAAAATAAGTAACAGCTGTACAAGACGTAGCAGTTTGTCTGAATCCTTTTGTACTGATGTCTGAAATGTGAAAAACACAAAAGCTATGACATGTTGGGAGCACCCGATGGAGTGGAATCTCTGGGACAAAGCAAGTCAGGCACTGCTCAAAGTCTTGAGAATCCCAGCTAAATCCCAGCTTAATCATTGATATTTTTTGGTTACGAAACCAAACGTGTCGACATTGAAAGATCTAGTCTAGAATCTATAAAGGGGGATAGGGAGTCTCCGGCCCTTGGGCAACGTTCCAAAAGCCTACTGGAAATCATAAATCTAACAATGAAACTACTTGAGTTAAAACATCACAGTTCTTTGCTTTCAGCTCGAATCTTAAGAACCCGGTGAATTACATTAGTTATGGTGTGGAAGCCAAAACCTCTGAATGGTACATTTTTGATTAGTAAAAGGAAACTATTGTTTTGTAACTAAAATCTTTTAAAACAAGAATCCCGTTAGAAAAAATAATTTAGGGGTGTCTGGATGGGTCAGTCAGTTAAGCGTCCAACTTCGGCAAAGGTCATGATCTCACGATGAGCTCAATCCCTACACCGGGCTCTCTGCTGTCAGAGCAGAACCTGCTTCGGATCCTTTGTCTCCCTCTGCCCCTCCCCCACTTGCACCCACATACCCTCTCTCTTTCAAGAGTAAAATAAGCATTTAAAAAAGAAAGAAAAAAACAATTTAAAACCTTTAATATTCCCATTCAATCCTTACAACTTAATGAAGGTATTATTACTACCTTCAATTTACAGATGAGGAAACTGAGTGAGCTCTTGTCCAAGAGTTCAATAGCTTGTCCAAGGCCATCCAGCTGGCAAGCAGCCTGCTCGGGAATCAAGGGGCAATTAATGCCAGAGCTCACGTTCTTCGTCTCCAGATTTTACTCATCTCCCTTTCCTCTCTCACTTTGGATAGCCTCTGCCTTCCCGACAACTAAAGGAGGAGGGCTCCCAGTAGCTTCAAGTTCAGGCAAGAAGCAGCATGGGAGGAAACAAGGCTCTTGGGGAGTGTCTGTTGGAGACACATCACCCTGTGGATTTCTGGACCTCAGACGAGTCCGGGGAAATGCGTATCTTCTGAGAACTATGGCGTTTGGGGGCACAATCATTTAAGAATTCCATGCTCTATGGTCTGGGAATAACGACCCCAAATTCTTCATTCTGCTGCCTTTAGCACCTACCTCCTCCTGACCGTGGATATCGTTTTATCAATACTCAGTCACCCTCCTTGGGAACCGAAGAAGGGGATGAGGAAAGCAGCACGTGATATTCTTTTCGGCACTGCCTGCTCTCTGCCAGTTTGCTCTAACCTTTTTTTCCCTTTTTCTTTAGATAAAAGATACTCCAGGACGGGGCACAAATTCTCTTCGACAAATGGCCCAAAATAATAGACAAAAGTACAAGTACATTTCTAGATTTTAAGAGGTCATTTCTAGATTTAAAGAGCACCTGGGCGGCTTGGTCGGTTGAGCATCAGGCTCTTGGTTTCAGCTCAGGTCATGATCTTGGGGTCGTGAGATCAAGCCCCATGGAAGGCTCTGTGAAGAGTGGAGCCTGCTTGGGATTCTCTCTCTCTCTCTCTCTCTGCTCCTCTCTCCCGCTTGGATGCTCTCTAAAATTAAAAAAATAATAAAGAGGTCACTGCAGGGGCACCTGGGTGCCTCAGTCGCTTAAGTATCTGATTCTTGATCTCAGCTCAGGTCTGGATCTCAGGGTTGTGAGCTTAAGCCCCCACATTGGGCTCTGCACGGGGCATGAAGCCTCCTTAAAAATAAATGAATAGGCCGTTGCAGATACAAAGGAGGTGGTGGCTTCTATTAGTCAGGAACTTCTGCAGCCCTACTCCACACCAGCGGCCCCGCTGCGGGGCTGATGGTACATCTCATATGTGAACTCCGTAACATCGGGAGCAGAGTGGCCCTGTAGGCTTCCCGTTGAACCGCGCTTTCTGTTACGTCCTAATAGAGAATGATTCCAATCTCAAAGTTCAAGTCTACCTGAACCAGAGGCCAGGACACAGCGGCCATTCAACAGATCTTATCTTGCAATTTTCTTCACCGGGTTAAACTAGACTTCAATCGTCCACGACGTTAATGACTTGATCACAGTGTGAAGCCGACCCAGTGGCGGTTCCGGTCCGCTAGTGGAACTCAAGCAGCACAAAGGCAGGACTCCATGAACTCGTTTTGAATTAGGTGAAGCAGGTAAACCAACAGGTGTGGGTATTTATTAACTGAACATAAGAAAATGACCCAGCCTGGGCAACCATAAAAATCCTCGGTGGCTAAGCAAAGTGAAAGGGATTTCAGAAATACTGTCTAACACCTTTGGAGAACTATTTCATAAATTTCCCAAAGACCTTCCCTAAATGGACGCAGCCAAATTCAATGGAGATAGAGGTCTGTGTGCAAACTGCCTCTATTCTCCTGAGTTATAGCCAGTTCAACGCTGTCATTTCAGTAAGCAGGGAATTTTAACACATAATGTGCAAGTCAGCCAAAGTGCTATTAAATGCATAAATCTTTTTATTTGCATTAGAAAGGCATCCATCACCTCACGCTACAATTCGCAATTAAGAAGTAAATGTACTATTTTGCTTCGCCTCACAAGAAAACTTTTGTATTATTTCCAGAATAAAAGTTGTGATTTTAACTCGCTACATTTCAATGGTAAATACAGTTGATCCCTGAACACGGGAGTAAGGGTCACTGACAGCCTCCCCTGTCAAAAAATCCAAGTATAACTTTTGACTCCCCCAAAACCGAACCACTGTTGACTGGAAGTCTTACTCAAATCATAGTCAATTAACCGTTGACAGAGCTTGTATCCGCATTGTACACTGTATTCTTAGCATAAAATAAGCTAGACAGAAGAGTGTTAAGAAAGTCATCAGAAAAATACAGTACTATACTGTATTTATTGAAAAAAATCCACACCTAAGTGGACCCGTACGGTTCAATCGGCATTGTTCAAGGGTCACCTGTACCTGCGCGAAAGGCTACCCCTACTTACCTAAGCTGTCTGTCTCTTATGTGGTAACAACCCAGATATTACACAGCAAGTAATCTAGCATTTCTACTTCCACGTTAACAATTACCGTTCCATTTACAGGAAGGCACTAGAGGGGGACCTGGGGGGCTCAGTCAGTTAAGCATCCAACTCTGGGTTTCGGCTCAGGTCATGATCTCGTGGCTTTGTGGGTTCGAGCCTGGAGTCGGGGTCAGCTCCAGCAGCAAGGAGCCTGCTTGGGATTCTCACTCTCTGCCCCTCCCCCACTCGCACAGTCTCTCTCTCTCTCTTTTTTTTTTTAACGTTTATTTATTTTGGGGACAGAGAGAGACAAAGCAGGAGCAGGGGAGGGGCAGAGAGAGAGGGAGACACAGAATCCGAAGCAGGCTCTGGGCTCCGAGCTGTCAGCACAGAGCCTGATGCGGGGCTCAAACCCACGGACCATGAGATCATGACCTGAGCCGAAGCCGGACGCTTAACTGACTGAGCCACCCAGGCGCCCCTCTAGTGCCTATTTAAAAAAAAAAAAAAAAGATGGGGCGCCTGGGTGGCTCAGTGCGTTAAGCGTCCGGCTACGGCTCAGGTCATGATCTCGCGGTCCATGAGTTCAAGCCCTGCGTCAGGCTCTGGGCTGATGGCTCAGAGCCTGGAGCCTGCTTCCGATTCTGTGTCTCCCTCTCTCTCTGCCCCTCCCCTGCTCCTGCTTTGTCTCTCTCTGTCCCCAAAATAAATAAACGTTAAAAAAAAAAAGAGAGAGAGAGAGACTGTGCGAGTGGGGGAGGGGCAGAGAGAGAGGGAGACACAGAATCGGAAGCAGGCTCCAGGCTCTGAGCCATCAGCCCAGAGCCTGACGCAGGGCTTGAACTCATGGACCGCGAGATCATGACCTGAGCCGTAGCCGGACGCTTAACGCACTGAGCCACCCAGGCGCCCCATCTTTTTTTTTTTTTTTTAAATAGGCACTAGAGGGGCGCCTGGGTGGCTCAGTCAGTTAAGCGTCCGGCTTCGGCTCAGGTCATGATCTCATGGTCCGTGGGTTTGAGCCCCGCATCAGGCTCTGTGCTGACAGCTCGGAGCCCAGAGCCTGCTTCGGATTCTGTGTCTCCCTCTCTCTCTGCCCCTCCCCTGCCCCTGCTCTGTCTCTGTCTCAAAAATAAATAAAAATGTGGGGCGCCTGGGTGGCGCAGTCGGTTAAGCGTCCGACTTCAGCCAGGTCACGATCTCGCAGTCCGTGAGTTCAAGCCCCGCGTCGGGCTCTGGGCTGATGGCTCAGAACCTGGAGCCTGTTTCCGATTCTGTGTCTCCCTCTCTCTCTGCCCCTCGCCCGTTCATGCTCTGTCTCTCTCTGTCCCAAAAATAATAAATAAACGTTTAAAAAAAAAATAAATAAAAACATAAATAAATAAAAATGTTAAATAAATAAATAAACAAACAGGCACTAGAGACATTTTGGGATGAATGAGCTTCACACAGAACCAAATACAAAGATTCACAAGCTGCTGATCAGAGCAGGAAAGTCTGGGATAATGTTTCTCTCAATAAGGAAACAGATGGGTTCGTTCTTTTAGTAACTAGTCGGGTGCCTATAACCCAACTACAGATGAAGTGAGGTGAGACTGGGGGTTGGCAGGTGGAACAGGGAGGAAGGTGGCTGGAAAGGTCTAAGCGATGACAGTCTAGGACAGTCCCTGTAAAGAATAGGAAGGCTGACCTGGAATAGACGGCAGACATGAGTGGCCACTTGGCTCGGCACCAAACATCTGTGGAGTCCCCAGCATAGGCAGGTGTTCAACGGTTGTCGAAAGGGCTTGTGGAATGGGACGTCAGGCTGAAGTGAGACCTGGGTTCCGGCACTAACCAAACGGATAGCTCTGATAAGTCACGTTATCACCCAGAAGGAGCTGTACTGCAAAAACTGATAAAAACAAAACCACTAATGAGCACGGCATTAGAGCCCACGCGATGACACACGATTAGTCAACGTTCGTGGACTAGTTACACATACAATTAACAAGGACAGTGAGACAAAGTCAGGCAACAACTAATCCAGTTTCCTGGCTGGACACTTTTTTCATTATCTATCCTCAGGGGGAAAACCAAACATCTGGCAACATCTACCTTTTTGGATTCCTAGGGGAAGTCACCGTAAGGGCAGGGAATACATCAGGCTTTCTTTTAAATGGCCAACAAAGGGACTACTGTTTTTTGTTTTAATTTTTTAAAAATGTTTATTGAGTGAGACAGAATGCGACTGGGGGAGGGGCAGAGAGCCTAGGGAGACAGAATCTGAAGCAGGCTCCAGGCTCTGAGCTGTCCGCACAGAGCCCGACGGCGGGGCTGGAGATCATGACCCGAGCTGAAGTCAAAAGCTGAGCCACCTTGGCCCCCCAAGGACCACCTTTCTTTAACCCTTGTGTGTGCAATCCAGCTGGATAAAGAGTCCCTAACACAGTGGTCCGAGGATGGGCTTTTAGGGAGGGCTCCCACGCACGGGAAATCGTATGCGAACTTGTCCTCTACGAGCACGCACGGATGCACAAACCTTTAGGTTTTCAAATGCTCAACAGCCATAAACCCCTCCCCCACCGAAAAGGTTAAGAACCATCGCTCTAGGAATGTTCCTTTTCTGAAGCAAGCTTCCTAAATAGTTAATTCTCGCGAGTGACTCCCGGGGTGTCCGCGGCTGACAAGTCTCGTGACCCCCAAGAGGCAGGGACAGACGCGCTGCTCGGTGCGGCGTAACCTAATCCCCCACTACACGAAGCCCTGCACCGAAGCACTTGGAAGGGCTAGGCGGTAGTATTCCGACAAGAGCGCAGGGACGGATGCATTAGTTGCGCACTGTAACATCGCGTCTGCGCACCGCCTCTTCGTTGGTCCTCACCAGTGGCCCGATTTTAAGCAAGTTACTTCGCCTCCGGGGCACCCGCTGCGGGAAGCAAATACGAGCCGGGTGTCCAAGTAGATCCGTTTTTTTTTTTTCTCATCCACGACCGAGGCCGGTGCTCCGCGCTCCGCAGTCCCAGGCCTCCCTGCCCTGAGCGGCCAGGGACGGACGTCGCCGCCATCAGAGCAGGGTCGCCTGGGCCAGCGCTCTGGGGACAGGAGGCGGCGCCGGGCATCCCAAATCCACTCACGTTTCCCGACCGCCGCCTGTCTCTTCGCAGTCCCGCGGCGCCTCGCACGGAACACCCCGTGCCCCGGTCACGCTCACTGCCTGACCGTGCGGTCCAGAGCGCCTGGCAGAGCCACTTCACCCGACAGCACAGACCCGCGCGACACCCGCGCCTCAGACGCGTCCCCCCCGCCGACACGTGACCACCGCGAGCAAACTCCCGCCGCCGGCCGAGGCCCGCGCGTGCGTGAATGCACGCATGCGCGCGCATGCGTGAGACGGGAGCGCTCCTCCCGGCGACGGTTTCCTAGCAGCTGGGCGCCTGCGCCGCGCGTCGTTCCAGTGCCCGCGGAGGGAGGTGCTGCGCGCCTGAGCACGGGCGCGCTTGCGCAGTAACTAGACGCGGGCGTTTCTTTCCTTCCTTTTTATAGAGTTGGTTGGGGGGAGGGGGGAGGTTGGAATTGTAAAATGGCGGCTTGGAGCATATTCGGCGCCGTTCCCCCGGCGGTCTCTGGCTGAGCGGCGGCTCTCTCTCACTGCCGAACACAGAGAGGCGAGGCGAGGCCCCCAGAGGACATGGTGTTTGAGACCCGGGGCTTGCTGACCACCAAGTCTTTCGAGAACCTCGGCGCACCGGAAGCGACCAGGCGCGCCCAACCGGGCGAGCAGCGGCCGCTCCAGACCCGAGGCCCGCGCGGCTGCAACCTCGCACCTGCTCGCTGTCGCGCACCCGGCTTTCGGCGCACCCACAGCCCAGCGAGTGCCGCGGCGGCCGCCCGGGAGGTAAGAGGAGGGCGGGCAGCGTGGCAGGAGAAGGAGCCGAGCCTGGGGAGAGGCGCCGGGGTCACGGTACGGGACTCGGCCTGGAAGGGGGAGCTGGGCTGCGGGTCCCAGGCCTGGGGAGGCGGAGGCAGCCGTGGTCCGGGTGCGGGAGTCGGAGCTGGAAGGGGAACCCTGGGCAGGAAGCCGGGGTCCAGATCCGGGACTCGGACCCGGAAGGAGGACCCTGGGCTGGAGCCGGGGTGAGAGGCCCGGGCTTGGTGTGGAGGAAGCTGGGGTCCGGGCGCGGGACTCGGACCTGGAAGGGAAACTCTGGGCGGGAGCCGGGACGAGGGAACCTGGGTCTGGGGTGGAGGAAGCTGGGGTCCGGGCGCGGGACTCGGATCTGGAAGGAGAAGCCGGGATAAGTGGTCCGGGCCGTGGGGTGGTGGGGTCAGCCGGGGAGAGTGGGGCGGGACGATCCCAGCGGCGCGTAGTCGGGTGCTGTTTGTGAAGCCGGGCGCCGGACCGACCTGTCGGGGCTGCGGCGCCCAACTTGGGTGAGGCGGCCCCGGCGGAGGCCGGAGCGGGCAGGGACCATCGTGATCCGGCCATCCTTCCTAGCCGTTCCCCTCGGCACTTCTTCCTTCTTGGCCAGCTCGCCGCCCTCTCCTCGCTCCCGACACTACCTCTGCCTCGGCTTCACTTTCTTCGTGCAATCCCGGGCTATCGATCGGCTCTTTTACTCTGTTCCCTTAAGAAGCAATTTTGAGACTTAGTTTTCCCCTGGCATTTCAGTCTCCGGGGTCTGCCCTCTTGTTTTTTGTTGTTGTTTTTTTCCTCGGTCAAATACGGGCAAATGCGTTTTCATCTTAGGGTACCCTGGTGTTGACTAAAGTTCAGCCCCAAGGATGAGGCAGCACTTGGTAGCAGAGACCGCATAACTCTCCGGCGCAAATAATAGCTTTTTCCCAATTACGAAAACTCTCAATTTGCTATGACAGTGTTTCCTACCTAGGAATGCTTTCAAAAGTTGGTACCTTTTTAACCACAAGCCCAAACGTTTTCTAAATCCTTTTTTTTTTTTAAACAGATTTTATTTTTAAGTAAACTACACCCAAAGTGGGGCTGAAACCAACAACCCTGAGATCAAGAGTCCCTGGCTCTACTGGCTCAGTCAGCCAGGTGCCCCTAAATTTTTAGTAATAGCCGGGACATAAAACTCCTTAGGTGCTAGGCCTTGTTCTGAGTACTTAACAGAGACTTCCGTTCCCTCCCCCCTTCTTTTTGCATAAAAAGAAAATTTATTAACTGAAGCATCGTGCTTTGAAATAAAATATGGATTTGCTAAAATATATTTTAAAGCCTGGCTCATAATTGAAGTCTTTTTTTCCACACTGTACTTTGTACATTTTGAAGAAAAAAAAATAGTATTTTTTATAGCTTTTGCTTCTAACAAAATTTGTTTCTTTAATAAGATGCATTAAGCCCTTCCTCTGTTCCGGGCACTGTGCTAAACTAACTTTTTTTCTTTTTTTTTTTTAATTTTTTTTGAGACAGAGACTGAGCATGAGCAGGGGAGAGGCACAGAGAGAGGGAGACACAGAATCTGAAACGGGCTCCAGGCTCTGAGCTGTCAGCACACAGCCCGATGCGGGGCTCGAACTCACAGACCGTGAGATCATGACCTCAGCCGAAGTCGGACGCTTAACCGACTGAGCCACCCGGGCACCCCTAAACTAACTTTTTTCTTGATCTTACTTCACCACACCTGCCTTGTCTACAGATGAGGAGGCCAAGGCACAACAATTAAATAACTTGCCAAAGGTCTAGCAAGAAAATGGCAGAACTGAGATGCCGGCATCTTGTAGCATTTTCCGAAATCCGTAGTGCCCCGGGTCACTGATTGAGCGCTTCTGGAATACCTCCTAGAAGATGGACAGGTTCGGGGCATTTGGAGGGGGTCAGTAAACACAGCGAAGATCCCTGCCCTGTGGCGAGGTCACAGATTCAATAAATAGGGTAGGATACGGACGCAGCTGTGTTCATTTTGGTTTTTACTCTGCTGGTTGTCTCCTCACTTGTGGGCGTGCGTTAGATGCTGAAATTTTACTATGGTTTTTGCACTTTCAGCGTCACCCTTTTTTGCCTTAATCACTTACAGTTACGGCAAAAGCGACTATTTCAACTTCTCCCCTCTTCTGCCCTCTGGTGGAGGTGTTACTTACTGAGTAGGAAAAGAATCCCAGCAGAGACCTGGCCTCTGAACCTTTGGAGTTCAGTAAGATCATGTCTGAAAGTACCTTGATTGTTTGAATAACAAAGATTAATGGCAAAACTTAACGAGGTATTTGGTAGGGGGAGACCTTAAAAAAGGATTTGCAGCTAATGGCTGGGTCTCATATTTCATGTGTTAGCAACTTGGGCTTTAAAACCATTTATTCTATAATCAGGAAAGAAAGCATGTACGTACTTGTAAAAGAGAAGTTTAGATATTATTAAGATATTATTAAAAGCTGAAAATCCCCTATGTAATGACTCCACAGGGGGCCAGAGTTTGGAGGACTTTGGAATGTCAGCATTTGAATTTTATTGTGTAGATAGTAAAGAGAAATAGGCCGGCTGTAAATGTGTATCTTAATGACCATGAAATTCTAGGAACTGACTCTGGTAGGTTGTGGTGTTGAGTAAAATGAGTGGGGAAAGACCTTCAGAAAGGAGTCTAGACAGGTTTCAGGGACCCTGAATGAACTGGTGAATTCCAGGCAAGGCGGGTAGCACGGGAAATGGAATTTGCTTGGTCCATTTAGCTGGTGAGTTAGAGAACGAGCCAGTTCAGCAGTGTTTTGGTATTTTTGTTTTTTATAGTAAACAACATATGTTAGGATCAGAAAACATTGCAAATTTTAAGGGATGGTTTCAAGTACCCTCTCTGGTTAGCTGCTTGTGTCCACTGCAGAGATAATACTGTTGCCCCCCGCCTCATAACAGTGGCTTTAGAGTTGAGCTGATGTCTTATTCTTGAAGGGTTATATGTAAAATTTCAGAATGTTAACACATCGATATTAATTACATTTTGAACTTTTAAATGATAGTCTAGCTTAGCAGTATACAGATTGGGGTAATTAAATGTTCAGTCTCGGGAAATTTATTTCTATCAATTGTCTGTAGCCTAAAGAAAGGTACTCATGCTGTGAAGGTATTTCCACTGCCTTATTAAAATTCTTGTCTAAGGATGAGCTTCTTTACTGAATCATCTTTAAGAGAATTTGAAGTGTTTAAAATGTTTTGCCTGTAGCAAGACTGTGATTATAATTTGCATAGAATAAATTAATCACTTGTTGATTACGTATACAGTACTTCGGATCTTTAAAAATCAGTGTTATAGTGTTTTTTCAAACGGAGCTGGTTTAGCATTGTTTAAAATTCTTCGTAAAAATTCTTTAAAAATTCGTTGTAAGGAATTACATCTTGATCCAGAAAAGTAAACTTTTCACTTCTTTCACTTTTAACGTAGGGTTGAAACAATGGCCAAAAGAATTGCTGAGAAGGAATTGACCGACAGGAACTGGGATCAAGAAGACGAAGCAGAGGAGGTAAGATCTTTCCCCAAGAACGATTCCCTGCTGCTTCTAAGTTTAAATTCATTTTGGGATTCCTTGGGCAGATTTGGTAGGAAAATCAAAAGGCCTTTTTAGGGGCGCCTGGGTGGCTCCATCAGTTAAGCAGCTGACTTCAGCTCAGGTCATGATCTTACGGTTCGTGGGTTCGAGCCCCGCGTCGGGCTCTGTGCTGACAGCTCAGGGCCTGGAGGCCTGCTTCGGATGCTGTGTCTCCCTCTCTCTCTGCCCCTCCCCCGTTCATGTTCCATCTCTCTGTGTCCCAAAAATAAATAAACATTAAAAAAAAATTTTTATTAAAAAAAAAAAAAAAAAAAAGGCCTTTTAAAGAACAGCCGGAACAGGAAATAGTATGGTTTCTTATGATCTGTACTTAGTATAGAAATTTATTTATTACATTTGGCTGTCTTTTTCCCACTAGTTCCCGTTCCTGAAATATTCTGCACCTTTGTAGAAGCACCTTCCTGAATTTCATATACTTGCTGCATTCTAAACTCATAGTTTTAGTCAAGCCTGAAGGGTGAGTAAGTGATCTGGTCGTGAACTTAGCATCGCGCCCGAACGTGAGAAGTGGTACTACGCCACGTGACTTCTCCGTCTGCCGCACCCGTAATTTGAGATTTCTGATTGGGGTCACCTCCCTTACCCTAATGCTTCTTGGAGGCCTGTCTTACTTCATGTTCGCACAGATCTGAGACCCCCACCCCCGCCCCCACCCCCACAACAATGAAGTAGAATTTGGATGGCCTAGTTTCTTTCCTCACAAAATAAAAATGGTCTTCCCTCAGAAATATTTCCTTTTCTCTCTTACAAAGAATAGAAATAACAGCTGCATTTTTAGTGCCTTGTCAGCAGTTTGATGCTCCCAGGCCAATAGAATAGTGCTAAGTTTAAAAAAAGAGGAAGAAGTAGAAATCTGCAAAACTGTTTCCAAGCTTATTCTAAAACCGTCTTCTTGCTGAATCTGTCTTGTCGTATGAACGTTTTTCCTTTACAAATACGTGTATTCCTATGTTTAGGGAAACCAAAATCACAAGTTTATTAATATTTCGACAAGGTTTTTAACATTTCTAACTGACTTGGTGCTTTTTAACCAGGTCTTTGGTAACTCAGGTTTTTTCCAGATCTTCTGCTGAGTTTCATTCTGGGCCTAGTAAGATTTAAGACTGCGGCATAATGATTTGCTTTGATGCTAAGATATTTCAGGTATGAAAGGACCTCCATTTGGATTGAATCTAATGAGTCTGAAAGGGCATTCCATTTGTTTGGGGACAAATGCAACCAAATAGTCCCGTCTGTAAGCATGGAGGTCTCTTTAACCTTACCTGAGATAACTATGGATGACATCTTCTTACAGAAAGTATTTCATGCCAGCCCTACAGGGTAAAAGAAGGGTTGAAATAAACCCAAAGATATTCAGCCAACTTCTGATTATGGACGAGGTACTTTAGCTCCTGGGAAGAGCGGTAGCTTCCAAGCAGGGGCCCTTAGGAGTCCCGGGTACATCAATGGGCTTTTGGGTGATGGACAAATGGGCAAGGTTTCTCTTAAAAATGGGATGCACACGTGATAAAAATAAAATGTGTTTTTGGAAACTGAAGTAGTAACGTACTAGATTTGGGCATTTGGGTTTTAGAACTGGCTCCACCACCGTTAACTGTTGATGATCTTTAAGGTAACTGTTGGCTTTTGAAGAATAGATTTTGCTTCTTAAAAGTGGATTTTTATTCTAAGATACATGTCTTTAAATATATTTAAAATTTGAAGAACCAGTTCTGAATAGTTTTCTACCAAACTTTTGATGGTCTTGGTCTTAGCAAAACTTTTTCTGTGTGTGCTCCTCTCCGGGTTGTATGCAAAGCCTGGATTTGCATAGATCCTGGGAGACTTCTTTCTTTTCCTTTTTTTTTTTTTTTTTTTTTTTTGAGACAGAGCACACTAGCAGGGGAGAGGCAGAGGGAGAGAGAGAATCGTAAGCAGGTTCCATGCCCCTCACGGAGCCCAGCCCAGCACGCAGCCCATTTTGGGGGCTTGATCTGGATCCCAGAACGGGCCTGGAACTCACGTACCGTGAATCATGACCTGAGCCGAAATCAAGAGTCAGATGTTTGAGCCACCTAGGCGCCTCGTTCTGGGAGATTTCTGATTCATCTAAGTAGCTTTGGGATTCACGATATAGACAACAGACATAGACTTTATTTTAATCTGCCCTCTCCTTACTTTGTTATCAGTATTAACAGTATGTTAAAACCAGATGTGAAGATAAGTTTGGTTAGGCTTTTTTGTTCATTTCTTTTTTGGGGCCTCATCTCACTGCTGTTTAATTTGTACACCTGCAGGTGGGAACATTCTCAGTGGCCAGTGAGGAAGTCTTGAAGAATAGAGCCATAAAGAAAGCAAAGCGTAGAAATGTTGGATTTGAAGTGAGTGTTTTCTTACCGCCCTTGGCATTAAACGCTAATTTGACTCCTGAGTTGCAGAGCATTTCTACCTGTGGGAGCCGTCAGATCGATAAATGCTTTTTAAAATGCTAACTCCACTTGTGAAAATCCTTGATGTAGACCACGGGAGATGGACGACAAGAAGCGCGAGATCTGTACCTGACCGAGTTGCAGAAATCCAGTGTCGATCCTGTAGACGCGATTCCAGCCAAACGGCAGTAAGGAGAGGAAGAGACACATGGAACGATACAAACAGAAGTAGTGGCAGGTGGCGTAGGGAAGGGAAACGCAAGGTGTCCTCGGAGTCCTGCTGCATCCTGGCGTCGAGGGGAGGGTCAGGGGAGTCCTTTAGCTCTGAAAGAAGCATGGCAGGTGAGGGTTTTCTTCCCAGTATAGTAGGTTACAGTGTTTTCCTTCCTGTGTTCACAAGGATAAAAGATGAACTGTAACTTGTGAATGGAAATCACGTGGTCCGTATTCAGCAGTCACTCCCACGTTTAACTAGTCTTCCCCGGTACAATTCCCAGCCCTCAGATACCTTCCAGATACCTGAGTGCTGACTCGGTGGCCCGGACATCTGTTGTCACGCTGGAGAAGCTGCTTTGAACATCCGGGGTGGCAGCTTTGGAATGAATCTGCTCCCCTGCACCTTCCGTGGTGACTCTGTTCAGTTTTGTTATTCCAAGTTTTCACTGATCCGATTTCATTCTTAAAGACTGGTGACCGGTCAAACCTAGGTATCAAGCCTAGTGAAATTTGATGGCTCTTCCTCGGAGAGGGGGCAGCAGGAGGGAAGGACAACTTAATTGTGGAGGAAGTGATCGGTTCAGTTGGGGAAATGTGTTCTAAGAGCCTGGGGTACATTGAGGTGAAGTTCTAGAAGACCACTAGGTCTGTGGGCGGCTTCCTGGAACAGGAGGTGCAGCTGTGAGAGTCCTCACCACGCAGGAGGTTGAAACCAGGGAGGGTGGCTGACAGTGGCAGCTCACGGTATAGACAGAAACCAGAGGAAGACCGCCTCAGGGAGGGATGGCCCGGCTGTCAGATGAGGGACAGTGAAGAAGTGCAAGCCGTGTCCACCACAGTCCAGACTGGGCCAGAGGGAAGGGGGTTGGGGCCCTCTGGCTGCTAAAGGAAATAAAAGACACACATAATTTCGACTATAACTTGCAGCGTCAGGTTTCCATCAGAGCTTGTATATTAGAGAAATTAACAGTTATATCATCTGCTTAAGTGCTGAAGTGTGACTTTTCCTATATACAGTTGACTGTTGACAGTACGGGTTTGAATTGCATTTATACGCAGATTTATTATTTTTTTGATGAGGGAGGATGTTGGCGTCCCTAACCCCCGGTTGTTCCCATGTCAACTGTCCTGGATTGTTGTGCTGAGCACTAGCGATTCATTGGTGGGTGAAGACAGGAGTGAGTAAAATATCCGTGCCTGGTGGGCCTTACGTCCTAACGATGGAAGAGACACACTGAATATATAATTTTAGTTTTCCTCTAAGTGCCATGGAGAAAAATCAAAGTACGTGAGGGAGATTGACAGACACGGGTGTGAGCCCCGGTGGATTACCTCTTTCACTTGTACTCTCATTTTTCTGAATGACTCCATTCCTTCGTTTAAAAGCCAGTGGTTCTTGAATTTTTGTGATGGCTCTAGAGCCAATGTACTGTCAGCAGTCTCTAAAATAACTATCAGTATCCTCTGGTTTTTAAATCTCATGCAAAGTAAAAGGCTCTGAGGAGCTACTCACAGCTTTTTATGCTTTGTCCATGGAATCTTATAAAATGATAGCGCTCTGTGTGGTGTCTTCGGGATATTGATTCATTAAAAATCAGATTTATAGTGTCGGAACCGAAGAACTATATTTATTACATGCATTGAAATTTATGCAAGTTAAGGCTTTGCTTTTGTTTTTGTTTTCTGGGTTTTTCTGGCCTAATTTTATTGCCACAATTGTATCCGTGGTCAGTAACCATGTGAAATCCTAGGTTTATGATTGAAACTTTTTGAACGATTTTTTAAAACTTGGCAATAATATTAGGCTAACTGGCCCATTTAGAAAATGAAGAGTTTCTAGTGTAAGCAATTTTTTGTGAGCTCATGATTCTAATTCGTTTGTGCGTGAACTTAAGGTTGGTGCACTCCCGTGGATGTTCTGAGCATATGTATTTGAGAGTATTTCCTAGAGCCTCCCTTGGATCCTTGATCCAAAAAGCAGACCATCCCCTGCTGCGGTAGAACCACTGTTTTGAACGGGAGGGAAATAGTAACTTCAGTCAAGCACTGTAAACTGAGGAACGTGTCTCCAAAAGTTTCCAGGGGCAGAGAGCAGTGTTAGAAGTTCATAGGCGTGCCAGATGTTTCCAGAGCATCTCAGGTTAGAGAGGTGAGAGAGCCAGCCACAGTGGGTTGAAAGTGCTAGAAAGACCCTGCTACTTACTGGAAGTCGCAAGAAAGTGGAGAATAAAAATGTCGCCTGTGGATTTCTCAACTAAGGGAAAGTCTAGATCTGAGAGTCAACTTCACCAGTTCCCAGAGACTAACGGCTGCAGAAGGGCTTAGGAGATTACAGGTAAGTGGGTAAAGCACTTGGAGTTCACCTGACTTGATGTTTCTACAGCATCCTTGGGCTAACGGTCTTTTTGATCGCATGGTACGTGAAAAATGGTTCGTTGGGGATTCGTTGTATTGAAATGTTTGCTTTTAGTTACAATTCTGAGGCTGCGTACACAACTTTATCGCGTGAGTCTTTTTTTGTCTTCTATTTCCTAAATCTGTTTTTAAAAACAAATCTCACTGTAAATTGGGAGTGTCCTTCAGGGCTGTCTCAGGAAGGCAGCTTTGGAGGGCAGAGCTGTGTCATCAGGAGGAAAATCTGCCTCATTTCCAGCTTGTGCTGGCAGTTTCCCTTTAATGCTGCTGGCGTAAGGATTCTAGGTGCTGTTGAGCCAAGATAATACTGTTACTTACTTAGTTATAAAAGAGAGTTATCTAATGTGCGCTCTTTCTTTGTATTTCAGTCTGATAGTGGAGGGGCCTTTAAAGGTTTTAAAGGTTTGGTCGTACCATCTGGAGGAGGAGGGTTTTCTGGATTTGGTAACGGTGCTGGAGGGAAGCCTTTGGAAGGACTGTCTAACGGAAGCAGCATCACTAGTGCCCCTCCCTTCTCCAGTGCCAGGGCAGCCGGCGAGACCAAGGCAGCCTTTGGTGAGTAGGTTCCCCTCCCCCTGGTCACATCTGGGTAAAGACCATCTGAAAAGCAACTCTGCAAAGATACTTTTCTTGTACTTACCCTGGGTCCTGGGACTAAACGAGCAGAAATAGGGTGATACCGAAAGGGATGCAAATTAGATATCGGCTATTTGCAGAGGAAGTGAATACAGCAGAAGCTTTTGAGCCAGGATAGACCAAGGTTCTGTTCTCAGTTCTGCTGGTTGCCGGCTCTGTGACCCTGGTAAAGTCCCTTAGCCTGTGAGCGTCTAGATCTTCAACTGTGAAATTGAGAGTGACTCTTGGAATTGACCTGAGGGTCAAAGGAGAAGAGGACGCTCTCAGTGGACCCTCTGTAAAGACCTGCCTTCCCGTCTCCTCATTCGTTCTGTGGGGGCCGAGGTCTTTCTGTGTGGTGCGCGCCCCCCGGGAACCTAGGGGGTCCTCCAGCCTAGATTGGTTTCGCCCGGCGTGTATTGATTGCCTGATCTGTTCTGAGAGAGTTGGTCAAGAGCTCTCGGGATCAGTGACAGAGAATGGAATCCTGCGCTGCGGTCTTCGGTTTTCAGAAGTGACCCTGGCTGGTTGGATTGTACTTCGCTAGGTATTTTAAGTGTGGCCCGTTGGGTGTTAATTAGGCGGAGTGTTCGGTGTGATGAAGCTAGCGCTGCCTGTTAAGATTTTAACTGCACGAGTATGTGCTCATCCCAAGGCGTTGGGGGTTAAGCTTTCCCCTGACCGTTGTGACAGTTCTCGGGGAAGGCAGGCATCAGGCATCCTTTTGAAAGAAAAGACCATTTTAAACCTTTAGAGGTTTAATTGACGTGAGCCCCGTTTTTGTACAAAGTTTGATTTTTGTGATCACTGCTTCCTAAATGTCAGACGTGCACACGCTTCTTGAACTGTCACAAAACTAGGGTACGGTAAAAGAAAATACGAAGGCAGTGCAGCATAAAAATCTGGGGGATAGAATCCAATCAGCCTCTCAGTAAACTCTTCAAACTTTAATTTCCTATAGGATCTGTTGCCACAAATGGTCCTACCTCCTTGGTCGATAAAAAGATTTTAAATCCCAAAACTAACGGTGACAGCCAGCAGCCCTCTTCCTCCGGCCTCCCCTCTAGCACGGCCTGCCCCAGGAACGCCTATCACAAGCAGCTGGCTGCCTTAAACTGCTCGGTGCGGGACTGGATCGTGAAGCACGTGAACACAAACCCGCTCTGCGACCTGACGCCCATCTTCAAAGACTACGAGAAATACCTGGCAGGGATTGAGCAGCAGCTCGGGAGCAGCGGCAGCTGCAGGGATTCCGAAGGCGACTCCGACAAGACGCCCGGCGCCACCCTGTCTCCCTCCCTCTTTGGGTCAACGAAGTCACAGCAGGAGTCAACATTTTTGTTTCATGGCGGCAAAACCGAGGACACGTCCGAAAAGAAGACGGAGGCGGATCCTGAAAAGAAAGCGGACCCGTCGGCGGGAGCAGCAGGTGCCTCGTTTCACTTTAGCAAGAAGATTGAGAGTTCTGCCTTGGGCTCCTTAAACTCTGGCCCCCTGACTGGGTTTTCATTCTCTTCTGGAAACTCCGGTTTATTTGGCAAAGATATTAGCCAGAATAAACCGGTCTCTTCACCGTTCGCCACAAAGACGCTGGAGGTACAAGCCGACGGCGGCAGCCACGAACGCAAAGGTAATGACAAAGTTCCAGGCCGTCCTCGCGAGTCGGCTCCGGGTGTGTCCGAGTTGGTGTGTAGTGGCACGAGCGTAGGTGTGTGTTTCGGACGGATCTGGATTCACACTGTGACTGTCATTTCCTAGGTGCGATCCCGGACAAAGTTGGCCAGCTGTTTCTGAGTCTGTTTTCCCTACTTGTAAAATGGAGTAAGACCGTTTTTGTAGAGTTTATTGTAAGGATTAAGAATACAAAGGTAAAAGTGAGGAACATATAGATACCTGGCACGATGACTTTGAAAATTATGAAACGCGTGGCTTTACATGTAAAAAATTGAGTGGCGCCTGGGTGGCTCAGTTGGTTAAGTGCCCGAGTCTTGATTTCAGCTCAGGTCATGATCACAGGGTCGTGGGATCAAACCCCACGTTGGGCTCTGTGCTGAGCGTGGAGCCTGCTTAGGATTCTCCCTCACCCCTCCCCTCCCCCCCTCCCCTCCCCCCTCCCCTCCCCCCTCCCCTCTCTTCTCTCCTCCCGTCTTCTCTCTCCTCCTCTCTCCTCTCTCTTTCTCTCCCTCTCCCCTGCTCATGCTCTCTCTAAAATAAAAATTAAGTGAATTAACTTCGTTTGACAGTTGTGTCTTATTGAAAGAACTGGTCATAGGGGCGCCTGGGTGACTCAGTTGAGCGTCCGACTTCGGCTCAACTCACGCTCTCGCAGTTCATGAGTTCAAGCTCCGCGTCCGGCTCTGTGCTGACGGCTCGGAGCCTGGATCCTGCTTCCAATTCTGTGTCTCCCTCTCTCTGCCCCTTCCCCGCTCATGCTCTGTCTCTCTCTCTCACAGATGAATAAATGTTAAAAAATATTTAAAAAAACTGGTCATAAACATCTATGGGATTTCTCATGTTTAGGTTTTTATAATCGTAGGGGAGGTCACATGGCAGAAAAGTGCTCTACTATAAATAAAACAGGTAGACTCTTGTTAGCCATGGGGAACAAATTGACGGGGTTTTCCCTGGATGTGTCTGGGTTGCAGCCGCCTTTCCAGAAGTTTCCACCTTGTGTAGTATCAGTGTCCCCAGTCAGCCTTCCCTCCCTCTTTTCTTAGCTCTTTGAGGAGAGGGGTTCGCGTCCCAATCGCTTGTCATCACGTGGTGACTGTGAACAGCCCACACGTGTGAAGATACTTCTTCATAAGCAGTTAAAAAGTATACGTCTCAGGAGATGTTAACTTCGTGAGAGGGAGAAAGAAAGGAACCCGCGGTGGCCGGTTTGCCACCAAATGTTCCGTGTCCCTCCTCCCTGGAGCGAGACTGCCCGTACCCCTCTGCCTGACCGTCAGGTGCGCCCTCAGGCACCAGCTGCCCCGTGCACAGCATAGGATGGAGACCGCCCCTTCCCTTCCCCTGCCCTGAACGGGACCAGTGGGCCCGGGGCAGTGGCAGAGCCTGTGGGAGGGATGTGGAAGTGAGGGTGCCTGCATCTCCGGGTGCTTGAGGTGCTTGGCGCATTGGAAGGACTAAGCTTGCTAAAATACCGGGATGCCTGGGGCCTGCCCTGGAGAACCTAACTCCGGACCACCTTCCTTCTGAGAGAGAGGGTGCAAGCCAGGGGAGGGGCAGAGGGAGAGAGAATCCCAAGCAGGCTCCACGCTTGGCGCGAGCCTGACGTGGGGCTCCACTCATGACGGTGAGCTCGTGACCTGCGTGGACACCAGGAGTCGGGCGCTTAACGGACAGAGCCCCCCAGGAGCCCCCCAGGACTGCCTTCTTAAAATTTAAATCTTGTCTTTGAATTGTTCGAGCACCAGAATTGTTGCTGTTTAATTTATTGAGTTTCCTGAGACTGTCTTTCTCCAGAGGATGTTACTTGCATCCCATAGTGACTTCAATCTCCCCTGTGCCTGGGGCCCTGGGCTCAGTCAGGGAGGGGACCCTTGGGACCCGAGCCCCAAGCAGTGTGGCAGTTCAGGCAAAGCTTGCTTACACACGGGGGTGGTTTCTCTGACAAGTCCTGTAAAGAAGTTTATCTTCCTTATCTTTGGCCATGGCTCAGATCGATTATTCCTTAGCTCCTTAGCAGGAGCATTTGGGGGGGAAGGGGGCTAGAACCCCATCTGACATTCTTCTCTAGTGGGGTAATCTTGAGTATGTGTTCGTGTTGATTGGTTATTTTCCTGTTAAAATTTGGGCACTGAATCATGTCGATAACTTTTCATTCCAAGGCCTTCTACAAATTGACATCTAGAAGAGAGAAGTAGGGTCCTGTTAAAAATTGTTCTCATTTTTCAGAAAACCGTTAAAATCCAGCGAGTCCTCCCGCTCCCCCACGCCCAGTTAGACGCGTGCTTTCGATTTCTACATCGGCCTACGTAGGATTTTTAGGTTGAGGATGGGTGGTGGTGCGGGGATAGACAGCTTCTTCGGTTACATCGTTAAGCGTTCGATTTGAATTTTACTGAGTTGGTCTTGTTTTTATAAAAGGCGGAGATGAAGAAGAGAATGACGAGCCACCCAAAGTAGTAGTTACTGAAGTGAAAGAAGAAGATGCGTTTTACTCCAAAAAGTAAGTGGGAGTCCTGGGAGTGCGTTCGGTGAGCGTGTCTTCGGAGACGTGGGAGGAAGAAGGGGGCCCACGGAACGCGCCGAGCATCCCGTCCTGGGGTCAGGCTGCGCTTGCCCTTTGAACTGGACAAGGAAGAATTCTTGACCTGTGTGTTTACAACAAGCTGATTCTGTAAATGTCCTGTGGGCGTATCCTACTCTTTGTTATTTTTCTTTTCTGCCTTTTTTTTTTTTTTTTTTTAAGAGGGCAAGACAGCGAGTGGGGGAGGGGCAGAGAGTGAACCCCAAGCAGGCTCCACCGCAGAACCCGACGCAGGGCTCGATCCCACGAACTGTGAGATCGCGACCTGAGCCAAAGTGGGACACTTAACTGACTGAGTCACCCCAGTGCTCCTCTTCTCTCCTGCTTTTTAAAGTGCTTTAGAGATAGGTTTTTCCATGACCCGCCTGCCGCATCTCCGCCTGGGCTTCTCTCCTTCTCTGCCCCTCCTCCTTCCTGCACAAAGTCACCTCGTCACTGATTCCAGATTTGGTTTTACTCCCACTGTTCCTCCGGCGGCCTCCTATCTTCATGGGGACATGGCTGGCCTTTGTGGCTTTTCTCAGCCAGCAAGTTGTGCACAGTGACCATCCCTCGGTCTTTCCCCCAGTGATGAGAGTTGTTCCGGGTTTTTTTGTTTGTTTTTATATGAGAGCTGTTGCTTTCAGAAGAGAGATCAGAGGAAATTTTGAATTCTCTCATCCCAGTGAGATGAAATTAGTGCTTTTTGATTAAAGATATTTACAGAATACTTACTTGTGCCATTTTAGAAGCTTCCCTACATGTGTTTTTCTAAGTAACAAAAATTTCAGACTGAGTTTCATAACAGGTCACCATATTCTATGGAATCCCCAAGTGTGCTATCTGAGAACTTTCAAGCATCCAACAATTCCTTTTGCTTATTCTTAATTACACAGATGATACAAAGGAGTGATCCTGACCTGAGATTCTTTGCTAACTGGAACAAATCAAAGGAGCAGGCAGTGGTTTGGGTTTGTTTATTAACAACCTAAGGAGACGTGGGACACGGCAGGCTGGGGAGGCATTTGATTACATTACTGGTAGTTCAGCCTTGCTTAAGAATGTTTTCCAAGATTTCAGCATTTGGTAGACCCAAAATTGAAGGAGTCCAAAAGAAACTTAAAAAATAAATAGGAAAAGAGGGAAGAGAGATGGGAGCAGAGTGTCCTGCATTTATTCCTGTCCTTAAAGGACCCGGTCAACCTCTTGAGCTCGGGGCCAGAGGAGCACAGCAGAGACCTGTGGGCTGCTTAGCTGTGATTTTGACTGAACTGAGAAAAGTGTCCATTTTAAAAGTGTCATTTTAAAAGTTGTATGTGACCCACTGGGTTATTTTTTTAGGAGCTAGTGGCAATTTTATTTTTCTTTCAGAGAGAGCAGGTGTATGTGCGCATGGGGGAGAGGAGTGCGCATGGGGGAGAGGAGCAAAGAGAGAGAGAATCTCAAGCAGGCTCCGTGCCCCGTGACCTGAACCGAAATCAAGAGTCGGACGCTCAGCTGACAGCCAGCCAGGCGCCCCATGAGCCACTATTTTAAGAATTATTATTATTTTAAAATTAGGGAGGGGTTCTACAGTATATAACCAGTTTGCTTGTTCTGGTTTGTGCCCAGACCCAGCTTGAATCAATCAAGGATTCATCCCGAAGCTTCCTCTGCTCGTTTAACGCGGGTCTTTCCACACAAGTGTGAACGGTGGTGGTCAGAAAACTTGTGACTTGGTTTGTCTTTGGAATATCTGATGATGCCTATTTTTCCCCATAGGTGTAAACTATTTTACAAGAAAGACAACGAATTTAAAGAGAAAGGTGTGGGTACTTTGCATTTAAAACCTACAACAAATCAGAAGACACAGCTTTTAGTGCGGGCAGACACCAATTTAGGTGGGTATCTCTTTTTTCAAGTGGCCCAAGTCCTCATAACCACATGGTGTAAAAGACTTCCCCTCGCTCACTGCAGTCCTCTAGGTCGAGTATATTGCTGTGTTTGGGGTCGGAATAGCAGTCGTTCAAACCAAATGCATCCTGTATTTACTGACTGTTTACAGATTTAATTAAGTGACAGTGTGTAAGGAGATATAGGTGTGTTAAAAACTGTGGCCAAGAAGTCACCAAAATGGTTTTCGTTTTAATTTGTGTTAGAAATGTAACCAAGCAGCTATCGATAAAGTGGGTGGTTTAATAAACACAGAAGGGAGTTAACCGTTCGAAGGAATCTGGTTTATGTAGGCAAAAAACTTGAACGTGCTGCAGTCCATCCTTCACCCCACACCCAGCTTCGCCCTCAGAACAGCCCGCCAGAGGGAGGACGGGGCAGGTCTGAGAGGAAGTGGTGGGTAGCTCTGGGCCCTGCCAGCCTGGATACAGAAACTTCCCTGTGGCTTTTTTTCCCTGAAGGCTTGATGCATGGGTGACACCGTCATGGTACTAGTGGGTCCCCCCCCCCCACCGCCCCACTACCCATCCGGGAGCCATGCTTGCCTCGGACAGAGGTGTCTTTGCTGACCATTCTGCCTTTATTCCAATGACCTCGTGAAGGCTCCGGGTCGTGCCAGAGTGTTCTTCCTTTCGTGTAAGAACGGACGCCCCTCAGCAGGGCCTGGCTGCTGCAACGGAGGCCGGGGATGTGGGCAGGAGCGGGGTGGAAGGCGGTTTCCCCGCAGCAGGGCCAGGGCCTGCCAGAGTCCGCGTGGTCCTCTTGGAGGGACGCCGTGCTGGTATGCGCACCAGGGATCCAGTGCCCTTTCCCGTGACCTCCCTGATGGCCCCCCGCGTTAGATCGGTTAAGTTGAGGAGGGCTTCTGGATTGAATGTTTTCGCATATTAAAGCTGTAGTCTCCCGACACGGGGTCTGTGTGATTTTGATGTACCTTTTCCTCTGCTTAAATGCAGGCAACATACTGCTGAATGTCCTGATCCCACCCAATATGCCGTGCACCCGAACGGGGAAAAACAACGTACTTATTGTGTGTGTCCCAAACCCACCCATCGATGAGAAGAACGCCACCGTCCCGGTCACCATGTTAATCCGGGTAAAAACAGGTGAGGACGCAGATGAGCTGCACAAAATTTTACTGGAGAAAAAGGACGCCTGAACGCCCTCCCTCTGCGGAGTCGCTGCCGAGCCGCTGCCCCCCCTCCCCCGCCCTCCGCGTAGTCAGCCCGCCGCGGACGGTAACTTAGAACTTTGTGAGGAAGATGAATGTGGCCAATAAAACCTGCAAATGTTAAGCGTCAAGAAACCGTATTCTCCCTTCTTAACAACTGTCTGATGTGTAAAATACGTTTGAATGAAATTTTTTGGAAGATTTTGAATGTTCATTTATCAAACTGACCGCAAGTGATTTCTTAATAGACTAAAATCAGGGTATCGATTAGACTTCCCAAAGGCTGTTCCGATCCACGGGTTTTGGGGTGCGCTGCTGCGGCCTGCAAGGCGTGCCGGCAACCCCTGCGTCCAGGAGGAAACTTGCCTGTGGCATTCTCTCTGGTGGGCTTGCCTGATTTGGGAGGACAGCACCCTTTCCAAATGAATCTCGCTACCATGCCGTGACAGAGGCGTTTTTCCTTTGCCGCATCGTCTTGTTTTAAAGCTGAATCTTGACCACCACATGTTCCCCCTCCGCATTAGAGGCTTTAGCTTATCATTTGCAGACATTGGCCTTTTAGCCCTGTGGCCTGTTTTACCTGATTCAGGAACTGCTTTTTCATTTTAAAAGGAAACCAGTTTGTTCTTTGGTTTTGTAGATGGGGTTTTGTAGTGGCATTCCTGAGGTGCTGTTACCGGTGCGTCCCCTACAGACAGACAGAATGGGGGGTGGTCAGGAATGAGGGTTTAAAAGCACAAATTTGGTAGCTTATAGTTGATAGACCATAGACCGCAAAACCTGGGGGAAAAAAAATTAAAGTTTGAGCACGGTGCAAAAAAGAAAGTGAATCTGTCCTAGTTCATTTGTACCGTGATGAACCCTGAGGATCTCAGAGCTTTTACTACACATGAGCCATGTAAGTTCACCAGGAAGGTCATGGAATTGAAATCGTGTGTGCAAATGTTGCCTTTAATTTTAGACAGAAGTATATTATTCTGCATTTGATAAGTTTCCATTGACTTTTTTAAGAGTAAGATACTCGGCATGTCCATTTGGAAGGGAGCCATGGTTGTGCATGAGAAGATCCCGTCACTTCGCCACCGCTGTTGGGTCGCTAATCCTAGCCTTCTGGGAAGACTCTGGGCACATGAATTAGATGCAGTTTTTAATGTTTAAATGTCCACTTTCATTCCTCGTTAGTCATTTAATGATCTTGTTTTAAAGGCTCAGGGTCCGTGCCTGAGGGCTCACGTTTGTATATTCTGATCTTCAGCGCATAGAATGTTTTCTGACTTAGGAAAGAACAGTCACGATAACTGTAGATAGTACAGTTGCTTTTTTAAAAAAGAAGCTATAAGTTTTAGATATAAGGGGGAGCAGGGAAACCGTTTTATGATCAACCGTGTTAAACACTTGAAGTGTGGTAGTTGGCCCAACATTTATCATGAGATTCTTGTACTTGTTTTCTGGTTCTGCTGAGAGAATTGGCCCCCGCGTGTATGTGACTCTGGACAAATACACAGAGAGGTGCTTACACTTTGTGAGACGTAGTCAGACTCTCACCTGGGACAACAGGGAGGGCGTCGCCACTTCTGTTGCATTTTCCTTTTAGAAAGAGTACGTGGGTGAGTTTCTGTTACCGGCGATCTGTGGTAAGCGGGTGGCTGACACCGTTTCCACGTCATTGGTCCTGTTCCCTCACCTGAGGTTTATCCAGCCGTCGGGAGGACGAGGACATGTGGGGCCCCGTGTGTCCTACGTTGGCGTCACGTGCTCCCGTGGTCCCCAGGCGCCTTCAGGAGCGCCTCGGTGGCAGTAGCCTCGGCCTGTCTGGTGGGACGTTTGCCAGAAATGGCCCGAAAACATCAGAATTGGGCCACCTCTCAACCCCCCTGGAAAAATAGCTCATATCTCTTTGAAGTAGTGGGTATGTGTGGCTTTCTCTTGTCCTAACATTCCCGGCAAACTTGCTGCTACAGCTGTCACTGTGAAAGTGATCATTACAGGGGCAGATGTGACATGTGCGCCATCACTCACAACGTGCTATTTCCTCCGTGTCCCTTGTGCGTTAGGAACTTTGGCCTCCACTTTAATTATGTACTAATAGAAAAGAGCGTGAGTGTGTGTGGATTTTACTGTAAAGTCTAAGTGCTTATATGTTACTCGGGGGCGGGGCCCCCCCAGAGAGCTCACCCCCCCCACCGTACTAATAGCTCAGTTCCACCCCTTGGCTTTAGTTAGAATTATTTTTAACAAAATAACTAGAAATTTGGCTTTAAAGTGTCTGATATAGATGGAAATTTTTGTATTTAGTTGAAGGATCTGTGATGTGTATCATCTGCGTGGCCCGAAGGATCACCTTTGATCCTAACCGTGCTGCGTCATACTGAGTGTCCCAGTGGCCTTTTTTTTTCTTTTTTTCTTTTTTTTTTTTTCCCAACTGGTGCCTGTCCCATCTCCTCTGGAGCATTCCCCAGTAAGCAAAAACTTGGGCGTCGTGCTGTCTTCTTTTTAGAATTACGGGCTGGAAACGTGTGTCCCGTTTTTAAAGCAGTGTGTAGATTGTGTTTTCTACGGAAGGACAAGTCTGGCCATTTGTTAAACTGATTTTCTTGACAAGGATTATTGTTGTACAATTTCAGTTCTACATTATAGTTTTGATAAGCTGCATGCCAAAAAAGATCTACCTGTTCCGGGGTAGGGAAAAAACAATTCACTTACCATCAGAGTTCAGAACAAGTTGTCACTGAGCCTTTTTTTGGTTTAGTTTTAAAGTTTAAACAGGTTGTTTGATTTTTGAGCATTCGTCAGTTACTCTTTACTTCGGAGCAGTCAGGAGGCGAGCGCGGGCGTTTGAAGGCTTTGCAGACCAAGTGGCTCACCCCCCAATCCCCGGGTACTTGTGCTCGCTCTGGAAGTGAGAATGTGTGGTAGGACCTGATGTGTCCCGTGGTACCAGCAGGTGGCCGGGAGCAGCCCATCCAGGCCGCACTCTACACACGGGTACGTTCTTGGCCAGAGGCCATCGTGCTGAGGACCGTGGACTCTGCCGGTGCAGGTGCAGTTGTAACAGCTGTAAAACTTGTTAGCAATCAGTTGGATAAGATGTTTGCTTCCTATGTCACATAGGAAATTGTTTTCTAAAACTAAAATACTTGAATTGTCAGACAATGTAATCTCAATTTGTATTAGTTTTTGAGGAAGTGTAATATCCATGAAATGTGAATAAATGGAAAGTAAACAAAGTCACAGTGTTTGACGCTTTTATGCTCCTGTGATGTTCCTGGTGTCGACACAAGTCAAGCGGACCAGAGGGAGGAGAGGTGTGGGGAGGCAGCGCCCAGAAGCCCCCAGGTCGCAGGAAGATCTGGAGGTGAGGACAGACCTACCCATCGGCCCCCGTGCGTGCAGGTGAGGCCCCTTCCAAGCCACCGGAGTTCGCCGTGTCGGATTCGTGTTTTCACAAATGAGCATTGCGGCGGGGACGGTGGATGGTCACCGGCCACCATGGGAAGCACTGCGTTGGGCGCGCCGCCCTCTGCATCCAGTGCCCGGGCCGACCTCCCGGACGGCCCTGCGGTGGGTTTTGCAAAGCCAGGGGTTTGGGCAGGTGAGTGTGTTTCTTCCACGTAAGTGAGCGGAGCTGGCATCTGTGTCCGGGTCGTCTGTCAGAAATCTGAACCCTCCTAAGGATATTTTAAGACTAAGGACCGGGGCGCCTGGGTGGCGCAGTCGGTTAAGCATCCGACTTCAGCCAGGTCACGATCTCGCGGTCCGGGAGTTCGAGCCCCGCGTCAGGCTCTGGGCTGATGGCTCAGAGCCTGGAGCCTGTTTCCAATTCTGTGTCTTCCTCTCTCTCTGTCCCTCCCCCGTTCATGCTCTGTCTCTCTCTGTCCCAAAAATAAATAAACGTTGAAAAAAAAAAAAAAAAGACTAAGGACCAAAATGATCAAGAAAAAAATACACTGAGGTTATAGAATTTGAAATTTTCAGCGATTTGGCAAACCGCTCTCGAGGTGTTCACAGATTAAACTGCAGTAGTCGTTAGGATACTGCTGTGTCGTCGGTCCGGGGCTGACTCCGCACCAGGCTGGACCGGAGGCGTCACCTGGGTCAGTACTGGGAGGACCGACCTCCCCGTCAAAGTAGCACTCCCAGGCTGCAAAGGTCCAACGGGTGCCATCCGAGCGACACAAGAGGGTGCTTTCTGAGGAGGGAGCCTGTCCCGGAAATGCACCAGCCCTACTGTAGGCGCTCAGGACGGCTGGGTGAGAACAGGGTTCTCAAAAGGGTAACACCTGGGAACTTGTTCAAACTGCAGACGCCGGGGCCCCTCCCCCCAGACCTGCGGGAATCGGAGCCTGGGGATGGATTTTGCTCTGTGTCTATTGAGAAATTCACGCCTGGAAGTGCAGGATTCAGTCGGTGTTGGTACAGGCGCAGAGACGTGCAACAGTCACCACTCGTTCTGGAACGTTTCATCGCTAACCATCTGGGTTTCCTCCAGTGGATAGGCTCAAGCGTGAGAACTCCTGGGCTGTCTCCCTCGTGCTCCCTGAGGACTTTGGTTTAAAGATAACCTAGGAGATGCCCCTGGGGCACGTTTCAGCAGGGGGACGGCCGGGACTCTGTCGACAAGAACTCTGGCAGCCTCTTCACACGCGTGTCCCCACCCTCCGTGCACCCAGGGCGGGAGGTGGTGAGGCCGCTTTGTGGCCGAGAAAACCCAGCCCCCGCTGCCACGCGCCTGGGGAGACCCAGAGCCACGCTCGAAGGCGTGTGTGCGCCTGTCCAAGGACTCCACTCACTGGCTTCTGGAATGGACGAAAGCCTTCTGAAACAAAGTTGCTTATTCAAAACAACGATAAAGTTCACTAAAAACCATGGTTGTTTCCAACTGAGCAATCCAGTTGTTCTATTAAAGTCTGGTTCCAAGATGAACGACCTTAATCCACACATAGGAAAGAAATCCCTTGTCACACCCGTCGGCTTTTGTAGAGGCCAGGGCAAGAGGCAATCAACGAATCTGTGAGCAAAAGGACGCCTTTTGGTTTCTCGTCCCCCCCAAAGCCAACACTTGCCCTTCTTTAATTTTCTCAGCTGTTCTGTCATTTTAACAGCCCAGCACGAAGTCCACCATGTCCCCCGTTCACCATGTGTATATACAATGGACTATGTTCTTGTACGAATGAATTTCTCTTGCGTTTTCCCCTCCTCCCAATATAAAATTCCCAAAGGTCTGTTCTTCCAAACGACATGTTCTTTTTTTTTTTTTAACATTTATTTATTTTTGAGACAGAGACAGAGCATGAACAGGGGAGGGTCAGAGAGAGGGAGACACAGAATCTGAAACAGGCTCCAGGCTCTGAGCTGTCAGCACAGAGCCCGACGCAGGGCTCGAACTCACAGCCCTCACGGACCTCGAGATCATGACCTGAGCTAAAGTCGGCCGCTTAACCGACTGAGCCACACAGGTGCCCCATTCGACATGTTCTTCTAAGCTAGGACATGACGATCCCTAAAAGTTCATCCAGGGTGGAAAAAAGAGCAGAAACAGCAGCGTTAGCCCTTCAAGGAGTAGGCGGTTCACAGGATGAGTTCACTGCAGGGAGCCCCCCAGATAGCCCCCACCAGACACCCGTTGAAGACCTTTCCGGTGACTGTTTTAAAAAGGCCTACTTATCTAGCGAGAAGGGGGTTGGATCTGGATGGCAACCAGGACGTTGCCTTTTTTTCAGCTCCTAGACCGCCTGCTGTCAGCACGCTCTCACCCGGGCTGCCCTTTGGTGATGCTGCCTCCGAAAATTCTGGTGCAGATGTTTTGAACATGAAGACTGTCAGAGGGGTCACCGATGTGACCGTTCTCGCCATATTTCTGGATCTGCGTGTGTGCTCCTCTCAGACCCCCCTCCCGTTTCCACTTCCTGTCCCATTGCTTCCCACCGTGGGAGCTGACGCGTGCTCTGCACCTTAGACCCAACTGAGAGTCTGTTGGCACGTGGGAACAAAAAGCCCCGAGACGCAGAGGCTGCCAACGTCTGCGACCGGCCCGCCTCAACCTCTGGCAGGTAGAGCCCACTTGAAAACAGGCAACACGCTCCACTCAGCGTGATTAACTGCAGAGTCTCAAGGCAACAGAGAGCCACGGCCCAGAAAGCCATCTTCCCGGAGGCCGAGCAGCCTGTCGAGAGCCTGCAAGCCTGTCCCTGAACTTGGGACCCCTCACTCTGCCCCTAGTCACGTTCCCGCTGCCATGAGGGCTTTTTAAGAGTTTCTCTAGAAATTAAGTGTGGGAAATCTGATGGTGTGGTGGAAGGGCGTGTACTGCTTCACGGGGACTGGAGTTAAACCAGAGACATGTCTCTTGGGATTTGTTTTTGCAGATAACCACCTCTGCCTAAACCAAAGCCCCGGGCACGCCAGTCCCGGGCCTGAGTCCCCAGCTTCCAGGAGCCGGGGCCCTGGGGTGGATGCTGTCCGGCTCCGACACTTACAAAACAGGAATTCGTGTGAAAGCTCCAAAAACAGTTGAAGAAGAAATCTTTGGCGGGGTGGGGGGGGGGGGGAGGCAAATTAAGGTTCAATCACCAAGTTTCTCGAATTGCTATAATATCCGTATTTAATTTGAAATTCCCATTAAGGAAAAGAAAATAACCAAGTACAGATCCACTGGAGGAAAACACGGAGGAAAAAGAAATTTAATATCCAACATGCAAATCAACCTTCAACAGAAATGCAAAACCCGCACAGCACAGCTCACAGCCAACCAAGAGCTGCTCAGAAATGGTTTCTGTATACCGAAGATGGGTGGCCCAGAAGCTGCCGCTGCTGCTGCTATGGAAACGCCACAGACAGTCAGATCCTAACGTGTCCAATGATGCCGTCGTGCTGTTTTTGCTAAAACAGGTTTTGTAGAAACCACGTTACTCAAGCCTCAAGGTCGTGAAAAAGAATCTCAACAGGTTTTCTTTGCAGGGTTGAGTACTCTCACACACAGAGTCCGTCTGGAAACCAGAAAAGGTCCCTATTTACACCCAACCCGCCCGCCCCCCCCTGCGAGCTGAGGACGTGCGTAAAAGCACAAGGAAGGTAAGAAGGACTGAAAGCTTCCCGCCGCTGCCACCTCGGCAGAGCTGGGGCATCACCGTTACGTCTGGTCTCCTGTGCGTCTGGACCGGAGCTGCAGAAATAAAGGTGCCCGCTTGCCTTGGGGACTGAGGAAAACCGCAAACTAACTCCGTGCATCTGCGGCTTCCTCCACTTCGGGGGGCTACCTGCCGTGGCGCTTTGACCCCCGCCCCAGGCCCCTTGGCAGCCTGGCGGCCTGGCTTCTGTGCGTGGGAACCAAGGGGTTCTCCAGGCTGTTCGTTCCGGAGGTTCAGAGAAAAGGCCAGAGGACTCCCTTCTCTCCCCGAGGACCAGGTCAGTGCCACACCAGGTGGAAAAGAACAGAGGAAAGCAGCCAGAGGTGACCCCCCCCCCCCCCCCACACACACCCAGGCCGACTCAGGCCACGGGACCGGGAGGTCACTTCAGGCTCACGCTCTGGGGGAGGTGTCTGCCGGCCCTTGCCTCCCTCTCTCCCGGAGCCTGCGTCCCCGTCAGGGTGATGTGTTTTAAGAGAATTCTGCTTTCTGCTACAGAGACGAGAAGCAGCCTGAACAGGAAGAATCAACGTCCTGTCAAAAGATACTTGGGCTTGAAACTGGCTATGAAACCCCCATTCTCGCTGATGTGCAAAACCGCCCAGAACACGTGCCCGGGCAGAAGCTATCCAGGCTCATGGAAAACGCTGGCGGCCTCTTAACGTGGGACGCCTTTAAAGAATCTCGGCCAGCGCCTCCAGACCTCCAAATTATGACAGGGTCAAATGCAGTCACGTCAGTCGTTAGAATTTACCGACCGCACAGGGCCCACCTTCTGGAATGTCTTTTAACGGGGGAGAAAAAAGTTTCACCATAGGGTCTACTGGCTAGACTCTATGTGAGGAAACCAGCAACAAGCCTCCGTGTGGTTCACTGCCACTGCTCCGTGTGGAACAGAAACCTCATTTCTGAGGGTCTGTTCACGGTCCTTGAAAAGCCCAAACGTTGGCAAGAACGGGGCTCTTCGGAAAACCCTTCCGTCTGCAAGTTGATTGGGCGGCAGAATATTTTCCTCGTTTTCTTATTTGTTGCTCTTTGTTGACTATGTAATATCATAAATAATATTCTTTTTCTGACATACTGAGCCTCGGCTGTTTGTA